TGAAATCACACTTACGATTATTCAACTTGTCATGTATGCAAACAGCAAAACAGCAAATTGGCGACAGGCGCCCACTCAGTACTCAAGATATCGTATCCACATAAGAGTTCTCTTCAAACTGGCTATGGCGACTGAGCGCCCAAATCCCCACTCAGTACTCAAGATATCGTATCCACATAAGAGTTCTCTTCAAACTGGCTATGGCGACTGAGCGCCCACACAACTCACTGTTCGCACTCTGGATCACCCTGGATGTCCCACACGCAACACTCAGTATCACACTTCACACACACACATGCTAGGCTACAGCTATGGCAGCGCTAGCTGCCACTACCTATCGCTGCACTCTACTCCTCTGCCCACTTCGTCTTCGGGCACTCTGCAGACCTCCTCGCACAAGCTGCTAGGCAGCGCTTCCGCATGGCATCTGCAGGAATGAATGAATGAATGGACGCAGCCTCTTGATTTGTACTTCTGTGCTGCATTGGTCTGCCTCGTGTCCCTGGCCCATGGTGCACACAGTTCCCCCGGTGGTACTTGCTGGACCGGACTGGTACTTTCTAGGCTCTCTCCAACATGGGCTTGCTTTAGTCACACCACTTGACCACTTGCCTGCACCACTTGACCACTTGCCTGCACCACTTGACCACTTGCCAACCTTCTAGAAGGACTGCAGCTAGCCTTCTAGTCTATAGGTCTACGGATCGAATCCTGGCTACCTATAGACCTACGACAGACCTACCTACCACTGGCGGTTCTACAGGTAGCAGGTTCAACTCTTCGAGTTGACGCTGGTATTATACACAGGTAAGTTGGGAAACTAGGGATCGAGCCCTGGGATCTACCTCAGCTACCACGAATTGGTGAATGCCGTTTCAAAAAGATGATAACTATGCAACTACAGAAAAAGTTTAGAGGACTTGAGCTTTTTGCTTTTTGGGGGGCTTCATCGTTTATCAACGATTCAGGACTGGGGTGCATTCATGGTGTCCAGGGGACGGAAGATTTCGTAATCTGCCGCTCTGTGGACATATATATATCGTCACAAACAGAACTGCCCGGTAAAACCGTAGGCAGAGAGAGAGAAGAGGACAACAAACGAGGGGCTGTGACAAACTGTTTCGTCGGAGTTTCACCGACTCATCAGGAGGTATATATATATATCGTCACAAACAGAACTGCCCGGTAAACCGTAGGCAGAGAGAGAGAGAAGAGGACAACAAACGAAGGGCTGTGACAAACTGTTTCGTCGGGGTTTATATATATATATATTTATATAGATAGATAGATAGATAGATAGATAAAAGGTCTGGCAGGGGGCTAGGTCCCACTTGCACGGATTAAGAGATACTGTGACCGTGGATAGCAAAGATCAACGGCAGAAATCTCCTACTTTGCACAAGTGGGACCTTGCCCCGGGCATGGCAGATGCCCTGGCCCCTGGAGACGGGCATACTGGCCCTACTGACACGTTCCAAAATGCATCTCACTGCAATTACGACCAGAACCGGATGAATCTGGATGCAATCACGTCCAAAGCTTTTGTTATAGAGTCCTATGTACTACGTAGTGTGATTATGCCCCCACTCTAAGAGCGTATGTGGTCCACATTCCGATCAGAAAAAGAAGAGTCTCTGGTTGAACTGCGTTAACTGTATCGCAGAGACATGCAGATTCAGCCAGAAAATCGAATGTCCTGGTGCGTCATTTCGCCTGGCGTTTGCGTTTGCCTTTGCGTTTGCCTGCACACACAATGGAATGAATAGTAGCAACGTCGGCTTAGCATGCGCATTTGCACGAGGAGTTTTTGGCGGCGCTCAATGATGAGACCGTGCTCTATCATGAAGTGAAAGGGGACGTGGTCCTCAACGCCTCGTTACCTGCCATCACGGGCAGGAACCTCACGCTCGTGGGCAGAGCGCCACGTGGCAGGCGTCCAGTGATTGACGGAGCATCGAAGCATGGCGGATCAGAGTCCTTGTCGCTGACGCTGAAGAACTTAGAGTTCCGCAACTTCAACGGAATGGCGCCGATTTTCAAGACTGAGGGGCACGACATCGTCATCGAAGATTGCGCCTTTAGAAACAACCGCGTGGTGGTGGTGGTGGGCCGTGCGGTGTCGGGATCGGGGTGTGTGGTGTATGTTCTGTTCGGCAGCCTGAAGATCTCTGGCTCTCTCTTTGCCAACAACAGGGTGGAGGGACGTTTTGGGAGCGGCGGGGCTGTGTACGCGATCAGAAACGTCACGGTGATTGAGAGGACGGTGTTCAGGAGCAATGAGGTGAAGGGAACGCAGGGCACGGGAGAAGCTGGGGCCATGTATATATGGGCGTCTACGTACCGCATCAGCGATTGTGTATTAGAAGGTAACAAGGTCGACGGCAATGGCGGCGCACTGGCGATCACGACCGAGGGGCGGGGGGAGATCGTGGGGTCGCGCTTCGCGCTCAACTCCGCCTACTCCACGAGTTCGGAGTTTAAGCGGTATGCAACAGGCGGGGCCATCAGCATCTACGGGGTGGGGATTATAATCATCAGCGGATGCACGTTCACAGAAAACAAGGCAGAGGGCAAGCGAGGAGGGGCAGTGTGTCTGTCTATGTACCAGGCGGACGTCACCATATCCGGGTGCAAGTTCGAGACCAACGCCGCGGGAAGATACGGCGGGGCTGTGGGTGCGCGCCTCGTGCCCGTCCACTTGGTGGAGGGCCCACGTGGCGTTTATCTGGCTGACAGCGGGCCTCCAAGGGGTAGAGCGAAGTTCTGCAGAGGGAACAGATTCTCGGGAAATTTGGCGGGAAAGTCTGGCGCGGAGAACATATACGTGGACATGCGCAACAGCTCCGAGAGCGGAGTGTCCTTCTGTCCGACCAGGCCTCCTCTTGCTCTCATCGAAGCGGCGCCGGCCGCTGTCACCATCTCCTGTGCATTCTGCTGAACTGCTCGTAGGGACATCAATGTCGCACTTGCATGGATTGGACTCCCCCCGCCCCCCCCGCCCCCCCCGCGCTGGCCGTCGATTCTCGTAGTCGACGATCAGATACGAACAATCCATGAGGATGCAGACCCGGATTGGGACGGCAGTGGCATGCAGTAGAGAGGGGCAAACTCCTCCCGACGACCTGGGTTCGAACCCAGTTGTCGGATGTCGGAGAAAGGAGCTCGCGGCGGTGCTGGAAACAGAAAGGAGCAACCCTGGGTTCGAACTCCGGCATGAGAAAAGAGAGAGAGAGAGCCCGTCGCTCAGGTGGGTTCGAACTCTCGGTTCGAACTTGGAACCCAGGTCGTCTTGCCGCAGTTCCAACCCTCAGGGTTCGAACCAAGTTGATGGACGAACGCTGGGTTAGAACTCTGGCTCTCTCTTTCTCATGCAAAGGACAAAGGGAGGTGGGAGGTGGAAAAGGAACTCCGGCATCAGAAATGAGAAGGAGAAAGCCAGTTACTCGGCTGGGTTCGAACTCTTCCATTCGAAGGGAGTTGGCGGGTGGGTGAAAGAGGCAGTCTGGGGCAGAAAGAGAAAGGGTTGGTTCGAGCTCCTCCTCCATGCAGATGAGGAATAAGGATGGGAGTTGGGTGGCGACATGCGGGCAGTCTTCTTTTTTATTTTATTTTTTCTGTCTCACTGGACCGGGAGGGGACCTGAGGGGAGGCACAGGGATTGGGCCTGTTGGCATGGTCCCTGATGCTACCGGCTGTCCCCTAGCCGGTATCGCCCACCTGCAGGTCGGGAGCAGCCCCCGCATGTTCTCTCGTGAACACGGTTCTGGCTACTACGAGGTTTCCCGTATGCCTGGTAATTAATTACGAGTAGTGGTAGGTAGGTAGTGTGAGGTGAAATTGAGAGAAGAACATAGCTTTATAAAAAAGAAAAAGGAAGGAGACAACCATTACTGAGATAAAAGCTCTCGCCCATGTGCGAACCAGCCTCCGCGGCCCATGTTTGCTACTTACGCTAATTCTCTATTGCTGACCATCGATTCTGATGATCTTCGGCCAGAAAGCACGAATCGGGTCGAGTGGGACTCGGCCCCCGGAGGACGGATCTCTTCATCCGAAAGTGGGGCAACCGCGTGAAGCACTCTCCACGATTCCAATTGGATAAGTCGACCGCATGGTCTGACTGACAACATGCAGACTCAGCATACCATTGATGCCAAGTGAAGGAACGATAGCAGAGTGGGGAGGAAGAGAGGGGGGGCGGGGGAGGGAGGGAGGG